TTTAATACTCGACGTTTCGGGTGCTTTCCAGCACCCATGGTCACGGGGGACTGAGGTGACTGACGTCCCGATGTCAAAGTTAACCCGGAGTACCTTCAGCTTTTTAATTATTGTCTTTGGTCCGATCTACGCAGAATGAACTAACTGTATTTTGAAGTCTTGCAGTGGTATGCTTGGGTTTAGTTTTAATTTTATTAATTATAGGATCCCAAGCAGGTGGTAGTACCCAGCCTCCTTCTCTATTGAAATTAGGATGTTTTTTAATTTCAATAGCCTCACGTATCATCCTTGGTAGGAATCGATGTTCTTTCGCGAGGATTTGTGGTTTATCAAATCTGATGTAATGGTTGGGGCCATCTAGAATATGATCGTAAACTGCAGACTTCCCGGAACGTTGATGCTTCACGTCAGCTATGTGTTCTTTTACGCGGGTTCTAATTGATCTCTTTGTTTGCCTTATATATGAGAGACCACAATCACAATCAAGCTTGTACACTCCTGCATCTTGTAGATGAATATGACACTTGACGGATGGTAAGAACTGACTAATTCTCGCGAAAGAACATCGATTCCTACCAAGGATGATACGTGAGGCTATTGAAATTAAAAAACATCCTAATTTCAATAGAGAAGGAGGCTGGTTACTACCACCTGCTTGGGATCCTATAATTAATAAAATTAAAACTAAAACCAAGCATACCACTGCAAGACTTCAAAATACAGTTAGTTCAACATTTATGATGTCCTCATTTTATTTATATTGAAGTCAGTTGTACAATTTTTTTACCACTTGTGATTCGTAATTGAGAATAAATGTAGATGTCTATGGGCCACAGCAACCACTTACCATCAAGTGGATTGAGTGCTCGTTTGTCACACTTATCATAAGTATCAACATCCTCAATCTTATTACCTCCTACAATAACATCATGCGCTGGCTCAGGGACACGTCTGCTACGAGTAGCAAGGAATTTAGTCTTGATAGCATTCGTGCACACAGTCCACCTGATGGTAAGTGGATGCTGTGGGACCGTAGACGTCTACACCTGTGTCCTCATTTATGTATCAAAATGCAGATGCGTTGAATGATAATATTTTTTTTATTTGTTAGTATTTGAATTGAGCTATATAGCTTCTATAGTAAACATATTATTTGCCAATTTGATCCAGTTTTGTCACTTAATAATAAGTATATATGTCTATTTATAGTAATCAAAGGGTTATAGAATTCTTAAAATTCTATGAAAACATATTATGCAATGACCTACGTCTATATAAAGCCTCGTTCATTAATTCATTCATTTTAGCCTATCAAAGGTCACTACTGAACATAGTTCTTCCCACACAAAGGATTGCCTCATAACTTGTTACTTTTATTTAATAATAGCGTAATATTATATATATAGTATACTTCATACTGTTTTGCCCATGTGGATTGTCTATCGTGCAGCCAAATTGAACTAACACGATGTGCTAATTAACATCTGTTTGTTCCATATGTGACCGTGTAAACTGATATTGTATATATATGTGATATTAGTGTTTTATAGAACAGTATAGGGTGGTAAATTAAATATGTCAACATTACTTATTAATAAAATAAAAAACCGACCAAATGCTAGTAGGACTCGTGCCTTTGGATTAAAAAAATCATCATTATGTCTGGATAGTTCATTAATCCCGGGAATCGATTCTCGACGATTTTTGTTTGTGTTAAAATTATTAAATTAGATTTCTAATAAGCGTACAAGCAGTATAAAGAACTGCGGAGACAACTGGGGAACCTTGGGTTTGGGTCATTCAACGAGTGTTAATCGTTGTCATCATTTTGTCCGTCGTGGTAATGCTTTTAGTACCAGCAAATAAGGTGACGTTGCAATGAGGCCGGTCTATGTCGCATCGTGATGGGCGATGTTGCAGTTGGTTTGCATACATCGTTTAGTTTAGAATATATATTGTATTTACTTCTAATGCGTTCCAAGAATATTTTATAATGTGAAGTCTACTAAGTAGTGTTCCCTTATTTAAATAGCTAAGAGTATTATCTAACACATGTTTTCGATACCAATACCTCAATGCTAAGGTAGTATTTATTTTTATAACCCGTGTAGTGGCGCTTTAAGAATATTCGCTACCTCAATATTCCGTTGTTGTCGTAAAATGCGACAGAGGAAATTGAACCAGTGATGGTTAACAGCATATTCCCGATAACAGCCAATAAAAATAACGAACTGCGGTATCTCAACTGCTTGCCATACTTTGCAACTATAGTAAATAATCCTTATATAGGGTCTATGTTCAGTTCAACAGTGTACTTTTCATAGGCTGTTATGGTGAAAGGCTGCTAGGTCCTATTCATTTAGAATTTCAAAAGACTAGCGTCTCGTTCTGTTGCGGAGTACGGTAATCCTTTTACGACTTGATCACAACACACGAATATTTTTCTTCTATCCACGAAATATGCATTTATTGTATCTACTTCGAAACGTTTCTGGACATACAACACGTACGAATTAACTTGAGACTCCGCTGGAATGCGACCCCCTTCCCGACTCCCCGCACCGCGTCCCGCGCTGGCCGTGTGCGCTCAGTACCGATAGCATTTTTGTTACGGATACGCGTCTCGACTCTAGTTCGATATTTTTGATAATTGTTTGTTGTTTGGTTTGGACTTTTGTTTGTTTTTGTTATATAAGGTCGCCTGTTATGCTTTGTATTTTTATTGTGTACGAATCTGTAACACTTTTTATAGTGCAATAAAGTGTATAATAAATAAATTAATAATATTATAAATGAGAAAGTGTGTATGTTTATTTCTTTGTCCTTCCTTGACGCGTTAACTAAAAATAATATTATATATATTATAAAAAATAAATATTTAAAATATATAAAAATGGCAACAGTATATCACTTATTACTTCACCCCTTGCCAGAACATTTTATTTTGTTTTTATTAATAATCTCATGCAAATCTCAAAAATTTCAAATAAAAAAATATTACGACGCATTATTTTGCACACCGTACATTGACAATTACGTCATCGGCCCAGGTCTCAAGTTAATTCGTACGAGTTATACTTTTAAAATGGTGGTAAAGAGTGCATCAAGTTTTATTTTGTTTTAAATGAATACATAGGCAGGCACTGTAATGACTATGTTTCATTAAATTTAGTGATTTTCTCCAGCAGCTATAAACTTATTTCCGGTAACCGCACCGCTTAAGCTGCGGATTGGCGACTGTAGTACAACATTTAACACTGTTCTTCATCGCCTCGCCGGTCTGATATTTTAAATCTTGCATATACGAGATGACTACACTCCACAGAACACTTTTTCTATACCTACACTCCCTCACTGTTGTTACGTGGTATAGCCATGCTGCAGCTATATTGGTAAGCGCGTGTGCGAAAATGTGTTTTCGAGTGATCTTATTTACACGACCAAGTCCTCGGTAACAAAGTCTCTTCTTTACTACTAAGTTGATAGGTTTTCGGAATAGAACAACATGAATGAGTTATAAAAATTTCGAATCTAAATTAGTTAGTAGTCAAAGCCAGAAATAAATAAATTAAACATTATACATGTGGCCGTGGAAGGAAAAGGGGAGATCTCCCGCCGGGCAAGGTGTTCTGCCCGGGGAGCAGCCAACGCTCCGAGTGATAGTTCGGAGAAGTTCTATATATACTGTCTATGATTCGGAATGTTGATAGCGTGATTTAAGCTTCGGTGTATTTCGCTTGTGGCGCGACGACAGCCCCGCTACATACCTAATTATTTGTCAAACTTCACATTTGGCGGGAATTTGATTCTTGTTTAAAATGGAGAAACTCTCATTTCGTGCGGTTATTAAATATTTGTCCGATTTTTTTACAAAAAGAAAAACTGCAGTCTGCCAAAGTAGGCTGAAGAACTGCAGGCTACTATGAGAGACAATGCTCCGTTTTATTAAGCTATTGCATAGCTTCTATCGCGGGCCTTGAGCGCGGGGACCGAATCCAGAAATTCCGTAACGAAAAAAAACCTCACGCTCCCCACTCCGACGGGCACGGAGGTGTGGCTTGAAGGCCGTGCATTGTCTAACGTCGTTTCTTTTCGGCAGTCTTCGACACGGTGTTTGTGTGCGTGCAACTAGACGTATTGTACGACTCCACGAAGCTCGCACGAATCGAGACGCGCTGCTCCGAAATCGGACGAATACATAAGCAGCTGTTTATGAGAAAGTATATAGGTGTATAGGTATTTATGTACAACAGTGAATAGCTTGTAAAATGTAAAATGTGTACTTGTAAAATTTGTGTATAAAGTGTTTTGAATATGAATGAATAAAGTGCATTTATTATTAATGAAGAAAGTCACGAAAAAAAATGAGCGAGTACTCTATATACATACATTTTATTATTATCACAAATGCAGTATTAATTTTGAATTGAAAATATAATACTGCTATAAAGATAACCTAAATTTTTGATATTAAAATGAGCGATATTAAAAGTAGCCTTCTTTTATACACACAAACACACACACGCGTATAGTTTAAATTCTCAATTGTAGATTCTCTATATATATATATATATAAATTCATTCTTCATTGTGTATATAACAGAAGCCATCGAACCAAGCACGTGTACTATTCAGTACCTTTGTTTTTGGTGTATAGATAATGCACATGAATGCCGCGCAGAGAAAGTATATATGATATTATATCTATATAAATGTACATCGCGCGAAATTCGATAATCACTTCTTAATATCGTTATTTTTTTTTAAATGAATAATTTTGTTTTGGTGTGTCATTACACTATTTATACCTAATTATTTATTGCAATGCCTATATTACATGTGCTTCAACTGGCAAAGCTGCCGTGGCTATTGACGGTACAACTGTTCATACAGCGCTCAAAATTTCTCTTTCAAAACTTTTGCCTCTGTCATCAGAAAAGTTGCAATTGTATAGATCTCTCTTCAGATATGTCAGAGTACGGATCATTGATGAAATTAGCATGGTTAGTGCAGAACTTCTACATAAAATTGATAATCGTCTAAAACAAATAACAGGCAAAAACACAGATTTCGGAAGTATAGATGTTATTTTGATCGGAGATTTACGGCAATTGCCACCAGTAAGATCGACACCAATTTACAAGACAATCAGAACGAGCATGATTGGACCGCATTTATGGAGAAAATTAAAATTTTATCAACACACTACAGTAATGAGACAAGCTAATGTTGCATTTTCACAAGTTTTGACAAAAATAGGTAATGTAGATGTACTAGATGAGCATGAGTTTCAACTTATTGAATCGAGATTTTTCAAAAAAGAGTATGTTGCTGCATTATGTCCTGATATAGTTCGTTTATTTTTTAAAAATGAAGAAGTTGCCGCCTATAACAATTTGATTTTGAGCCAATGTGAAAACAAAGTTCTTTCAACGTCCGTAGACGTCATTATTGGCGCTAAAAGTGCTGAGCAAGAAGCTAACTTTAGACTTAAATTACATAAAAAATCTGTTATTGACACTGGAAGACTGCCTTATCACATTACTTTTGTCGTTGGAAAGCATTATGTTATTACAACTAACATCGACGTTACTGATGGTTTGTGCAATGGTGCTGTTGGGAAATTGGTACATCTAGAATTTGATGAAAGTAACACATTAATAAGAGTTTGGCTGGAATTTTGTGGTTCAGATAAAGTGGGTAGGAAAAAAAGGCAAAAAGCAGCCGCTCTAGCAGTGCAAAACAGAGTTGGCAATCTCGCTGTTCCCATTGAATTACGAACAGCAAATATTTCATTAACATCGGATAGAAAATGTATAGCCAAACGCAAACATTTTCCATTAACTTCAGCTCTTGCTCTAACTATACATAAGTCGCAAGGTGGAACTTTTGACGAAATAGTATATGAGTATAGTAAAGCACATTCTCAGGAACTCGTTTATGTTGCGCTCTCGGGTGACTAATATTGAAAAATTGTATATCAGGACAAAAAACGATAATTCTACATTCAAGTTTTATCATAATCGAAATCTGATTCGACTGCATCTTTGTTGCAAGAATTCAAAAGACTATCTTTAAATAGTGTTCAGTCGATAGCTCAAAGTGTATTAGATTTCATTAGTAATAGAAATGGCATTTCAATAATGACTTTCAACCGCCAAAGTCTAAATAGTCATAACTATGATTTACAAGATTCAGTTACGAGACAAACAAATTCTTACCGAAACTTGCATGACGCATGATAATCCGATTGAAATACCTAATTTTAATTGTATTGTTCAGTTCAAACGAGATACTGTTCCAAAAGGTGGGGTAGCTACCAAGCTTACCAAAATAAAAATGATATTACTAATATTATTACTCCGAATATTGAAATAAATATTGCACACGTTAGCGATGTTAATGTTAGGCGCTCAGTTGTTGGAGATATTTGTGCGTGCTTATGCAAACTTAGAAATGGCCTACAAATAGTTATGGTTGCAATTTACATTTCTCCGAATCCAAAATTGGACGAGGTAGAGCATTTTATTGATCGCACTTTACTGGAGTACACTGAAGAAGGGTCGAAAATACTTGGTACAAATGGTAACAAAATTCCACTTATCTTGGCTGGCGATTTCAACATTAACTTCGCTGATAAAAAATCAGAGCGGTTGACATTTTTTCTATCAAAAAGATTGAATTTGAAAATGAATCAATGATCCACAAGAGTCCACAACAAAATATGGGACCACCATTGACGCGGTATTTTCTAGGTATTTAGAGGATATTAAGTCGCAAACTTACGTTTCTTATTTCAGTTATCACAAACCTATAGTTTCAATGATAAATATTCCTGAATAACCAACAGCTACTGTAAGATAATAAAACCCACATGTATTGTAAAATAATAAAAATATTTTAAACAATATTAACTTTTTATTTCTTTAATAAAAGAAAAAAATTTGTTTTCTTATCGGTCACCACGCTCAAAAAGTGTAACTTGAATTAATATCAAAGAAAAAGAAATACTGCATAAATAAAATACATAAATAATTATAATTGCATAAGTTGATACAAAATGCTATGCAATAGCTTTACCGCGGCAGTCCCCGAGTGCCACACGTCTTTTTTTATTGTACAGTAGCACACTGGTGTGCTGAAATTAAACGCGGCAGAACCGCCTGCAATGACGACACTCCGGGCGGCCAACAACGGCCGCTACGCTAGAAAACGTTAAAACAATCGAAGAAATTGTTAAGGTAGATCGACGTGTGACCATCCGTTATTTAGCTGCCAAGCCAGCCAAGAGATTCGAGGTGTCTGCGTCCGTGGAAAAATAATGCCTCTGTCTTCTGGGATGCGGAAGGTATAACAATGAGCATAAAGTAAAGGACAGACAATAACCGGAGATTATTACTCATCATTAATCACAATTCTATGAAAAGAAATAAAGAATAAACGTCAAGGAAAATTCCATTCTGGAGTGCTTTTTCATCATGATAACATCTCTGCTCATCGACCTGATGACGCAGGCTCTGCCATCCGAAATACTGAGATTCAGTTGATGCAGCACCCACCATATTTTCTGGTCCTAACTCCGAGTGATTTTCACCTGTTTACTCACCTGAAACAAGGCTTTTTGTGATATAAAATTCGACGGCGACGTCATCGTCACCTCATAAAGCGGCTTTTTCCAAGGAAAGTAACCAATTTGCTAAACGGTATTTAAGGAGTATTATCTGAAAAAGTGATTACGTTGAAAATTATTTTTTTTTTTTATATAAGAGGGCGCAAACGAGCTTGCGGCTCGCCTAATGGTAAGTGACCACCCATGAACAATCGCAACACCAGCGGAATGCAGATGCGTTGCCGTCCTTTAAAAAAAGAGTGGGCTCTTTTTTGAAGAGGTCCCTAACATACAATTATTACAAGAATTAACACAAGTGTCAAAGTGACGCAAGGTTATTAGGTTAGTGTGCGCGAGTAGAATGTGCCTACGCTTGTCGCAAACACACATACATTCACATGCATTCAGTGATACCAGTTTCTGGCGTTTGCAATCAAATTGTGCAAATCATTGTTTTATTGATTAATTATAATTAATCGCTAAAATAAAGATTACGTATTAAGTATGAAGGCATATTTTATGAGAATACAAAATGGAATAAAATAAACACGATAATGATGGTACTAATATAATTTTATTATGCATATTTGAGTGCTACAAATACACATAACGTAATAAAATTTAGGGACATTATTTTATGCACAATTGTTCCATCGAATGTAATAAAGACATCGATTAATGTTTAATTTTAACCGACTTCAAAAAAGGAGGAGGTTAGTTATATTTGTTACGTCAGAATTCCGTCACTTATAAACCGATGTAGATTTTTTTTATTTGGAAGTAAATATAAACGCTGAAATTTTAATAGTTTTTTTTAAAGTTACTCGCTTTTAATTGATACTAAATAAAATTGTTTCTATTCTATAGTCTAAAACTTTTACTTTGGTTAATGAACAAAGCAACAAAAATAAAGCAGTTGCGTTAAAAATTAAAATAGCTTCAATGGATAGCTCTCAGCTGATCACTCCTTATTAGTTTTGAATAGGCACCCATGAGACCCATAGATAATATTGTTATATAAATACTTAGAAAAGTACGTTTCTACATATAAACGTTTGAGTTTTACACAGAGCGTTGCGATTTAACGTTTTAAATCGATACTAAAGATTTTTAAGAGAAAATTGGGCAATTTTTACCTCATAATTAGCAACATTTGTATTATGATAGCTTAGGTAAGTATTTTTTTGGTTTTATAAGTGATTTACGTTATAATAATGAATTAAATGTAGAAATTATCTGTGAAATGTAACACTATCACTTTTTTATTATTGCCATCACTGTTGTGACAATATTTTAAGTAATTCTTACAATTTGTCGCGAGCTCTTTTCCGTATGACGAGACGTTGCGCACTGATGGATCGCTAAGTGAATTTACGCGATTCATCCAGATGGTATGGATGGTGTCTTGAGTTTTGTCGCGATGTGCGACGCTTATATTGGGCTGTTGGAATTGATCTGAACAATTCCACTTCGCACTCCCCGTAATTGCAGCGCCAGTGAGTCAAGCCGATCAGAAAGAGCTCGGACGCCGAAGGAGCTGGCACTGGGAAGCCCCGGTCAAGAGATGGGAACAGTATTTCATGTGAGGTCGAACCTGCACTTTGTAAAGTTGCAGGCAGTGTGCCGGCATGAAATACTGTCCCGCTCTGCTGAACACGCTGAGCTTTTTAGAAGACAATTTGCCCTTCTCTTCCAAATGACCACGAAACTGCTCGTTATTCGATATGTCGGAGTGCCCTGAAACTGAGGAGATACGACAAATGTGTTTTTATTAGCGGGTAACGCGTAAACTAATGTCTTCTGGGGATTGAACTGGACTAGATTTAGTTCATTCAAGACTGTTCAACAAACTCTCGACGTCGGACACAAATTTGTTCCGGTACTCGGTGACGTTTTCCCCAGAAATATTGACACAGCTGGTGCATAAAGCATCACTAGTACTGTTGTCCGCATAGCAATGAATGTTATCAGTTTGCAACTTATCATTGATATGCAAAAGAAACAGCGTTGATGACAGCACGCAACCTTATGCAACATCAGCGTTAATGGGCTTGTAATCGGAGCATGTACTGTCTACTACGACCTTAATGTTCCGATCAGCCAGAAAACTAGTCCATAGGAAGGAAGCTTCGAAAGAAGCGCTTTGTGCCAAACCAGATCGAAGGCATTCGCTATGTCCAAACTAATCGCCAAAGCCGTTCCCTTGGACTCGACAACCCGAGCCCATCGGTGGATTAGGTAAATCCCCTCGGAAACCGTACTAGCCGTTCACTAGTCAGCTGGTGCTTCTCAAGGTGCCGTATGAGTTGGCAGTTAATAAAGGACTCCATTATTATCACGAAACAAGGACGTGATGGCAATAGGCCTCCAGTTGGACGGATCAGAGCGGTTACAAATAGAATTTACATATATACTTGTCCTAAAGTCTTATTGCGTTTTTTAAATCTTATTGATCAATCTAGTAATAAGTTCAATTTTACTTTGACGAACAAAAAACAACTTTGAATAAAACAACTTTGAATAATAAGAAATCATTATGTGAACAACAACTTCTTGAAAACGAGTACAGAAAACAAATAAAGATAACGATAGTTTTAAACGGGGAGGGTAAACGCAAGTCGGATATCTTATCACGGTCAAAGGTTACTGACTCGAGAACTTAAGCGAAATTGCAAGCGGCACATTATTTGGAGTTACAGAGGACATTATTTTTGTCAATCATTACACGTGACAAATTTGTTGGCTCATACGTAGAATACATCATACACGTTATACATCTTGCCCTGAGGCCGCATCAACTTTTATCTGCAGTGGAGCTGCAGGTACATAGAATATACATGTGGTAGAGCCCCGCTGCAGCTATATTATGGTTGTAGCACGAATGGTTCGGCTCGACCGGGGAAAAACCACGCTCTCACAGAATATCAGTGTCGTAAAATTGGAGCTGAATAGGTGTGTTTCGTAAAAGAGTGTTCGGATGTGTACAGATCCGAAGACTCTTTTTTACTAGAAACGAGGCATTGCATCTTAGTCCCCAGGGGTGACAACGCATCTGCATTTTGATTCTTTATCGAGGATAAATGTAGATGTCTGTGGGCCACAGCAACCACTTACTACCAGGTGGATTGTGTGATCGTTGGTCACCCTTATAGTTAAAAAAAAATTGAATAATAATAATTTGGCAGATTTCATCGTGCATAGTTTTCACTTTTTTAATTTCATAACGTCCGGAATTAAAAAGTTAAAATTAAACGCGGCAAAATATATAAAATTAGTTTTGTTTCATGTGTTTCTATAATATTCGCGTAAATTTAAGAAATCTTTAAAGTTGCATAACTTTCCATCAGAAAGTAT